CTCGTCGGAAGCGGCTGCCTTTGCGTGCGACCTTCCTGCCTCTGAGCGCTGGCGTATCTTTGAGTGGGACTACTCGGCTGGCTGCTGACGACGGTTTCATACCTGCGCGCGCATCGCCAAGAATGCTGTCACGCTCGTCGAAGATTCCATCCCGGGAGTCCCAACTCTCGCCGACTACGCCGACTGGGGAGCGGACGCGCCGATGGCGGGTGAGGATGTTACTGTTGCGGGGGATCCGCTCGCAGCGGGCCCAAGCCACCCCCATCCTGCCCCATGTCCAGACCCTGGAGGATTGCCAATACTCCGTTGATGCTGTCCTACAGCCCCTCGGGGACCCCCCGGCGCAAGCTCACATGGACGCTGCCGGCAAGGCCTGGACGCTCAACGATGCCCGGGCAGTTCGTTCCGCAGCGTTGTCGCGGCTCGTCTGCGTGCAGGGCCTCCCCCCAGCACGGGCAGGTCGCGCACCGCCCGTGCCCTTCGTGCTCGCCACAGCACGTCGGGCCCTCCCGGTGTTGCCCTCCCCCGACGACGACCCAGGGCCGTCCGGCCTGCTGCAGCACCGCCGCTGGCCTCCTCCATGGCCCTCGGGCCGCCGCCCGTGGCCGCCTTCCCTCGGGGGCCATCTGCTGTCCCCTTTCATGGCCGCTTCCGCGCCACCGACGAGGGCCGACCCCTGTCGGGGAAGGCTGGGCTCAAGGCTTGGCAGTGGCTCTCCAGGAGCCTGTCCGCCTTCCGTCTCTTCGCCTGCCACTTTTTGGAGCGCGCATGGCACCTCTGGCGCGGCGAATTCCCAGGTGGAGTGCGCACCCCCTTCTCGTGGAGGAGGCCGGCCCGTGCCTCGAGGCCGTGTCCGTCATCCCTGTCAGCATGGCGCTGGCAGACGGCGCCCCCATTGCACTCGTCGGCGACCAAGCCCAGCTGCAACGGGCATCAATACCTCTCTTTTCCCTCCTTGAGAAGCTGGTCACCCTTGTCCAGGCCCGCCCGTCCATGGTCACCGCTCTCGATGGCTGTTACCGCATGCACCCCTGCATCCTCTGCTTCCCGCCGGTGCAGTACTATCAGGGCCTCCTGAGGTGCGGGCTTGGCCAGGAACCGCTGGGCACCACCCAGACACTGCGGGCCCTCTGGACGTCTCCGACCCCTTCCCTGGGACCGGCTCATCAGCCGGAGTCGTCTTTTTGACGGTCCCAGGGCCCGGCGAGCACCCCCAGGGGCCGAAGAGAGGCAACAGTTGCCCGTCCTGCTTTTTTCACGACGCCATCCTGTCTGGGCACCGCCCGTCCCCGCATCCCAGGCTCCGACCGGCCAGCGCGGCGCGCCGGTCACGACGAGCCCTCCGCCTGTGGCCGCCGCAGCTGCCCGTGCGGGCCGCCCCAGAAGCGCCGCGGCGCAGGGGGCGCAGACGGCCCCTCCGGATCCGCTGGCGCTGGTTCCTTACAATCAGCCGCTCTCTACCCAGACCCCCTCGAGTCATGAAAAAATCATGACGAGAGGTTTTTCGCTATTTTCGGCCTCCGGGGGCCCTTATCGGCCCTCAGGACTGTCAAAAAACGACTCGGGATTAAAACCGGTCCCGGGGAATCGGTCCGGACCTCTGGGGGTCGCGTCAGGGAAAAACCACGACGTCGGGGGTCTGGGTACGCAGGATGCGGTCGGACCGGGGCATGAGAGCGAGGTCGGCTCGGGGAGGGTACCCTGATGCTCTTCGTGCTTGCTGGATGTTCTTTTGCAGCCTGGGGGAGGGTACCCTCGGATGCTCTTCATTCTGGCCGGCGGAGGGTCTCACGTTCTCGGAGGATGTTCTCCTGTCCCAGGTCCGACTGTAAGTCGCCTGCGGCCGCCCGAGTCGGCGACTCCGCGGTCCAGCGTGCCTTCCTGGAGGCTTCACTGGGGAGGGCATGGCCCTTCCCCCCTGGCCCGCCCCGGCCAGGCCGCCCCTTCGAGGACGAATTCCTCTGGGGCGAGGAGTATGCCCGCTCGCCCCCGCAGCGTCTCGCGGAGACCGCAGTGGCCGCCCGCCTCCACTCGAGCGACGGAAAAAAACGGGGTCGTCTGCGCCGACGTTGGCGTGTAAGCTGCCCACGTAAGGTCGCGCGTGAGTGTCCTCGTCTCCAATGTGGTGTGCCGTGCTGGCGGCCCGCGTAAGCCACCGCGTACGGTCGCTGTACCATCTCGCGTAAGGCCCGTTTGTTTTCGTCGCCCCCCTGGCGGCGCGGGGCGCGGGCGTCCGGCCCGTTCTGGAAGCTCTGGTGTGGGCCTGGGCCCCCCTTCCACCCTGTGGTCGCGCTCGCCTCGTGACCGCACTGGGCCGCCGTGGGCGTTCTCTCCCCTGGCCCGCCCGCCCCCGCTCCCGGGGGCCCGGCTGAGGATTCTGCGCAGCCAGAGTTTACCGCCCGGCTGGGCGCCATGCGAGCTTCTGGGGCCCCGGCTGCTGGCCGGGCTGCTCTCGCATGGCGATCAGAGCTGGACCCGCGACGACGGGCCCGCAATGGCAGGCCCCACCCTGTTGGACCCGCATGCTTACTCCGTCGAGCAGCTCTGCTCCTTGATCGCGAGCGTCCCCGAGGAGTGGGTGCCACCGCCCACGTCCAGGTGGCGAACCACACTCGGGCAAGCGCGGGCCCTCGCGTGAACCGTCTCGGCCGGCGCGCCCACCTCGGCGTCGCTCTGGTCCCGCCTGTCTGGGCACTGGCGCCGTGGGATGGGCTGGCGGGGAGGTGGATGGCCCCCTGCACTCGTGTTGCGTTCCACCTCGGCCCCTCCTCTGCCCAGGGCCTCGCCTCCACCTCTCCCTGGGCGGTGCGCCTTCGCTGTGCTGGTCTCTCCGGCGCCCCTGTGCGCGTCTGCCCTCGGCCGCCTGCGCCGTCTCGCTCGGCCACGCGCCGGCCGACCACCTCCCCTCCTCCCCCCCTTTGCAGCTGCGTGTTGCCGCCTTGGCCTGGGTCGTCCTTGCCGCCACTCGTCGCTCGTCGTACTGTCGTCCTGTGCCTCCACTTTCCCAGACTTTGCCCTTCGACCCGCTGCGCCCTCGCTGCCCATGCCAGGGTGTGCCGATGGCTTGGTCGACCCAATACGGGTCCCGCGCGCTCTGAGCGCCCCGCCGCGCGCGCGCGCCAGCCTGTTCGGTGACTTTCTCCGCATCGACGGTTCGCGCGAGGCCGCGACCGCCAAAACGTGTATGTGTGTGTGTGTGTGTGTGTGTGTGTGTGTGTGTTTGGGCCCGGCTGCCGCGCGCACTGTGTTTACGCTTATTCCGCCTTGTCGCTGCGCGCGAGGCCGCTGCCGCCACAACGTGCGCGCGTGTTGGTGTGTGCGCGCGTGTTTGTGTGTTTGCTTGTGTGTGTGCGTGTGCGTGTGCGTGTGCGTGTGTGTGTGTATTTGCGTGCGTGCGTGCGTGCGCGTGTGTGCGCGTGCGTGTGTGTGTGTGTGTGTGTGTGTGTGTGTGTGCGTGTGTGTGTGTGTGTGTGTGTGTGTGTGTGCGTGTGCGTGTGTGTGTGTGTGTGTGTGTGTGTGTGTGGGTTGCTGTTTTGAAGCAGCGCAGGAGGAGCGCACGGCGGGGCAGGGGGGGAGAGGGGGGAGGAAATCATACACGGGCCCTGCCCGCGGCGAGGAGGCGTTGGAGGAGGAAGAGGCGGCGGCGGAGGAGGAGTGATAAACTGCGGCGCTGCTTTGACACTCCAGCCAAAGAGCGCAGCGGGAACCCCGCGTTACCTCCAACCCGTCCTTCCTCCCGACTCTAGCATCTGCCGCCCCCGCCACGCTGTCGTTCCCCTCTTTCTCAGGCCCCTTAGACGTTTGAACTGACCTGAAGGCCACGGTCGGGCCGAGATAAGATCGAGGTCGGCTCGGGGAGGGTACCCTCGGATGTTCTTCGTGCTTGCTGGATGTTCTTTTGCAGCCTGGGGGAGGGTACCCTCGGATGCTCGGAGGATGCTCTCCTGTCCCAGGTCCAACCGTGTTTCCCTCTCCCGCCCCCGCGGCGGAGGCCAGGGTCGGGGGGGCACCGAGGGGCCCAGGTGCTGACCAGGCCGACCCGCAGCGGGAGCGACAGTGGCAGCCTGCTCGTCCTCTCGGCCGAGAGGGCTTCGGCTTATGCGGGCAGGCGTGGTGTACAGGCGGGCCGAGGTATGAGGTCGAGGGCGGTTCGGGGAGGGCACCCTAATTTTCTTCGTGTTTGTTGGATGTTCTCCTGCGTCCTGGATGTTCTGTGTGTTTGGGCCGTCGGAGGGTTCATTTCCTTGAAGGATGTTATTCTGTCCTAGGTCCGGCTCCACTCCTTCGCCGCCGAGTGGGGCAAGTCCAAGGACAGGGGCAACGACGAGACGGCTCAGGAGGAGCTCTGTCTCATACCCCCCTGAGCTGTCCTCCATCACGTGCCGATCTCGTTCTCGATCCTCCCTGTTGCGTCTCGTGCTTTACCTGGTGTCCTTCGGCTTATCCAGCCGCAGTGCCTATGGTGTGGGCCGCAGTCCTTTTGGGGTCTCCTTGGATACTTCTTGGAGGCCCCTTGGGGCCTCTTGTCTTGAGGGCCTCTAGGGCGCGTCTTGGGGGCCTCTTGGCTTCTCGGGCCTCCTTGGCGCGAGAGCCCGGGCCTGGTTTGTGCTCCCCCCCCCAGGGCCGCAAGCAGTGGAAAGCAGCATGTGTTTCAAGGATTCTTGATTTCAGGCAAAGTACGCGAGAAGCCCTGGCATCGCCCAAAGGCGACCTGAAATCCAAGGCCTGGGCCCTTCAACAAGTCCCTGCAATGTTTAAGCACGGGAATCGGTGGGACCCGATGATGCTTTCTGGTGCCTACTTGCGGCACTGTGGCGGCTGACGCTGCTGGCTTTGCCGATCGCATGCCGAGGGGAAAGTGCAGTCGGCCCGGATGAGTAGGTCGACCCTGCCAAATCAAGGGTACCTTTGTGTCCTGTGTCTCGCGACCCGTGCCTCCTGCATTCCTATGTCAATGTGACCATCGGAAGGGTCTTTTGCCCTCTCGCGTGTCCTGTCCGATGAAGTCCGACTGTATGAGACGAGGAGGGGGAGGTTGCATCTGGTGCCGCGCTTTCGAAGACTGGAGGAAGGCCTGGATGCACCAGCAGCTCCGAGGGGAGCGGCCTGCCCTCGTCCTTGTCCTCGATCTCGTAGCCCGCCCGAGAGCTGCCAGGGCGGAGTTTGGAGAAGGCGCCGATCAGCTGCACCGATGTCCCCAGCACTAGGGGGCCACATGCGAACCCTACCCCTACCCCCCACGATTTCTGAGGGGGAGGGTGGGGTTCACTTCGTTCGGGAGCTCCCGAGCGAAGTGACCCCCCCCCCCCTCAGAAATCGCGGGGGGAAGGGGTAGGGTTCGCATGCTGCCCCCTAAGCACGCTGCTCTTCTCCGCGACCTGCCAGACGCGGGGACCCGTCGGCTGCGTGCTGGTACTTGGCCAGGAGGTGCACCCGGGCGCCTGCAGCAAGGAGCAGAAGCCATTCCAGCATGACCTCAACCAGGGCACCCCCGAGCAAACGACGGCAACCAATGCCCATTTTCTCTTCCACGCCTGAGCACGCGGGCGAGCAGGACGGGGTGTCACCGCGCGCCGCCTTCAAGCTCTCGTGCCGCCTCTGGGACGTCGACGTTGGCATCGGGGCAGGCGGACGTTGAGAGCCGTTGCCCGCGCCGCCGAAGGTGTGGGCGACGCATGGCCAGGCCTGGCAGACCCTCGGCGGGTGCGCGCGACGCCTTCGAGGACCCGTGCAGGACGGGGACCATCCGGCAGGCAGGAGGCAGCCCCTCCCAAGAGACAGGTAGGAGAGGGAGAAGGAGAAGGAGGAGGAGGAGGAGGAGGAGGAGGAGGACTAGGAGGAGGATGAGGAGGAGGATGAGGACGAGGAGGAGGACCAGTGTAAACCCAAGCCTCGTCAACGATGTTGGAGCATACCCGCCCTCCAGGCCCCCTCTTCATAACCCCATGTAAGTGTTAATTTCCGCTGAGGGAAGTGCCACACCTGTTCGAAGATCCCGTTTTTTTTTTTTTTTTTTTTTTTTTTTTTTTTTTTTTTTTTTTTTTTTTTTTTTTTTTTTTTTTTTTTTTTTTTTTTTTTTTTTTTTTTTTTGGTTTTTTCTTTCCAAAACATCATCATCATGAATTCAATGCCACGAGTCGTTCTGGTTGTTGCGTCTTGACGGTCCCGAGCCGTGCCAGAACACCATGTCTTGGATTTATCACCGCGAATCAACCTAATTGTTGCGCTCTGACAGTCCTGAATCGTGCCGAAACACAATTTCGGGTACGTTATCCATGAGAGTCCGTGAACCTCTTGCACATCTTTCGAATGTGCGCGGCGCTGAGGCGAAAGCAACGTTTTGGAAACAAGCCACCCTCTGTCCGTGAAAACCTTGCAACTTTTCAGAACGAATGCGCGCGGCGCTAAAGCGAGAGCTACACTTCGAACAATTCCGACGTATCCCCGTGAAGCTCTTGCACATTTCTAAGGCAAGAGCTACACTTTGAAAAGGAACTGGCTCTTCTCCGTGATGCCCTTGCAACTTCACAGAACGAATGTGCGCGGCGCTAAAACGAGAACCACGTTTTCCATATAACGAGCCGCCCTCAATCCATGTTTTTTGCTGCAGTATCTGAGGACGGCTTTGCGCGGCGCTGAGGCGAGAGCCACACTTCGGAAACGAGCCGCCCTCTCTCCGCGAAGCTCTTGATTAGTCTGCGTGGCGCTAATGCGAGAGCCACATGTTCAAAATCACCAGTCCTCAATCCGTGAAGCTCATGGACAAGTTTTAAACGAATGCGCGCGGCGCTTGGGAGAGCCACATCTTGGAAGTGACCCGCTGTCCATGTGTGACTTTTGCCAGATTTCAAGCTCGAGGCTTATACATGATAAGCAAGTGTTCGGCGAAACGCCCGGCTCGCCCTTCCGATTGGCTTCGGAGCGCGACAAGGAAGAGTTATGGGAAAGGAGAGGAGGAGGAAGAGGAGGAGGAGGAGGAGGAGGACCAGTGTCAACCCATGACTTAGTACCAATATTACAATATACCCTCCCTCCAAAGTCCCCGTTCATAGGCCCCATACAAGGATCCGTTTTCACAGCGAAGTGCCCCGTTGGAAGGCAACTGTTTGAACATCAGAGACTGTGCCAGAACACTTTTCCTGGGACTTCAACGCCGAGAAACACCATTGCTTTTGCGTCCTGATGATCCTAAATCGCTCCAGAGCGTCTTTTTCTGGAACGTCAGCACCGCGAATCAACGTGAATGTTGTGTTTGACATTTCGGCATCGTACCGAAACGCCTTTCTTGGGCTGTTGACCATGCGACTCCGTAAAACTGTCGCAAACTGTTAAGATGAATGTGCCTTGCGCTAGGGCGAGAGCCACCTTTTTGAAAAAGAGCCGCCCTGCATGTGTGAAACTCTCGCAAACTGTGAATCGAATGTGCGCGGCGCTCAGGCGAGAGCCCCATTTCGGAAACGAGCCGCCTTCTCTCCGTGAAGCCCTTGTAATTTTTCAGACGAGTATGTGTGACGCTACTGCGAGAGCCACATGTTGAAACCGATCCGCCGTCCATCTGCAAAGCTTTTGCAGTTGTTTGAAACGAATGTGCGTGGCGCTGATGGGGAGCGCCTTGTTTTGAAAACGATTCGTGGATGTCAAGTTTCTTGATCATAACTGGTGAGGAAGTCTCCGGCGAAACGTCCAGCCCGCCCTTTTGAGGTGCGACCGGGAGGAGTTATTGGTAAGGAAGAGGGGTGGAGGAGGAGCAGGAGGAGGAGGAGCAGGAGCAGGAGGAGGACAGGGCCTCTTGGGAGCCTCTTGGGGAACTCTGTGGGTTGGCGGCCAGCGGCTGGGCTCGAGGCGGTCCTCCGGGCACAGGTCCGTTGCCACGGGGTGAGAATCAAGATCGGCGTCGCGGAGCGGCCTGCCGAGGAAGAGCCCGCGCGGAGCGCCCCGCGGGGCATCGCTGGGAAGGCGGACCGGAGCCTCCTCCCCTGGAAATGGGTTCTTCAGACGAGGATCGAGGACCCATTCCTCGATCGAGCATCGAGGACCCATTCCTCGAGCGAGGGTCGAGGACCTGGCGAGTGCAGGGGCGAATGGGGGGGTCGCGGCGCGGAGGCCCTCGCCGGCGCGCAGCAGCAGGCGCAGCCGCCCCCCCTCCAGCATCCGGGGCTCGGCCCAGGCGGCTCTGCCCGTGCCCCTGGCCAGGCCCGCGCGGGCGCCCCCTCGGCACTTGCTTTTTTGTCCGCCCCGTGGGCGCGAGCCCGCTCCGCCTCGGGGCCGAGGCTGGCGCCGGGCACCGCTCGCCGTGGCGCCTCGCCCCCAAAGCTGGTGGCCCGAAGGCCTGGGCGCGCTCTGCCCGGAGCCGCAGATTGCCCGCCGTTCCTCGACGGCTCGGTCGCCGTTTGCGGGTACAGTGGGTTCGCGCCACGTTGGCGCGGCGGCGGCCGCAGCGCGGGCGTTCAAGACTCAACGCCGCCAGTGGCCCAGAATCTCGAGATATCGAGTGATCTGCGCTACCAGAAAGCCGAGATCGTTCGAGGTTGAACGGTCCACGCGGGGTCAGAGACCAGCGCCGACGCCGTCGTGATGTGAGCCTGCCGTAGTCCTCTGCTGGACTGTGGCCGCTGGGGGGGGCGGGGGGGCGACCCTGGCCGCTCCGCGCGGTCGCCTGCCGGAGCGGCCTGCCACGACGAGCACGGTTCCTCAGGCAGGTCGACAGCTCTGCTCGGCCTTGCTGCAGCACAGAGGGGGGGAGCCATCACCATCGCCACCGTCATTTCCAGCATCACGTTCGTCATATCATTTTCGTCATCGTCCTCTTCATCGTCGCCGTCGTAATCGTCGTCGTCGCCGCCGCCGCCGCCGCCGCCGTCGGCGTCGCCGTTGCAGTCGCCGTCGCCGTCGCCGTCGCCGTCGCCGTCGTCGTCGCCGTCGCCGTCGCCGTCGCTGTCGCTGTCGCTGTTGCCGTCGCCGTCGCCGTCGCCGTCGTCGTCGTCGTCGTCGTCGTCGTCGTTCTCGTCGTCGTCTTCGTCTTCGTCGTCGTCGTCGTCGTCGTCGTCGCCTTTCTTTCCGCCATCGTCATCGGCACCGTCATGGTCAACGTTTGCCGTCTGCGTTTGTGTCCAGTCGTTGCCCCAGGATCCTGCAGGGCTCTCCTGGTTCCTCCAGGGCCCTCTTGGGGCTCTTCTTGTAGATAGTTTCAGGCTGCAGTTGATTCTTTCAGGTGCCGTCCAAGTCCCTCCGATGGTTGCCAGCTACCTGCAGGCCAGTGGAGGTCACCAGGGGGTTCGGGAGCTACAAAAAAGGGCAACGCACGTTCTAAACACGTACCCTCGAACCTCGATCCTCGAAGCATTGATCTCCGAATCTCAACCCTCGAGCCTCCTAGTATTCAGGCCGACGCGCACTGCACCCGCCGAAGGGGCCCGTCAGGCAGCGACCGCTCGCCCTGGACCCCAGCGGCACGCTGGCGGCGTCAACCGGCGCGCCAGGTCAGTCTAAGAGTGAGTCGAGAGGTTGTCTCGGACGAATTCAAGCTGTTTCATTCAAATGCTGTGTTTTCGTCGGCGGCGACATCGGAACTCTACCCTCGCCGAACGGTTCAGGCAACTAACTCCATGGGCGGCGGGGGTAGGGTTTGGAATTCGTCGAAGACGTAGCGAACTCCGAACCCTAACCCCCGCCTCCCATCGATTCAGGAGAATCGATGGTTGGCGGGGATAGGGCTCGAATGTCGCCATCTAGTGTTTTCGGTCGCGAATCGTGGGAGCCGTGTGTGCCCTCGCATCTCCGTTTTGAGAGCGCATTCGCGCCGATTGGTGTCTGGTAGTCGATGAGATACGGCGGGGGCGTTCGTTAAGGAATGGGCCCAGGAGGCTTCAGACCCTGGGGGATTCCTTGTCTGATGAGGGCGGCAGTTTTACAACGATCGGAGTTTCGCTGACTTCCAGACCCTGGATTCCTTATTTAAGGGTTCCGTATCCCGTACCCTCACCGTAGCGCCGGCTTAGCGTGGATTCGCGTCGATTCGACAGAGCCAACAAGATGGCACGGCAGGCGCCCAGGACCTGCCACCGAGCGGTGCTCGAGGACTGGCCTGGCCTCTGGCGCGCCCTCGCCCCCGGCGCAAGCTGGCGTCCTCCCCCTCCTCCTGAAGCGCTGAAGCACTGGAGGCACGAAAGCTCCTTCTACTCCTCCTCCTCCTCCTCCTCCTCCTCCTCCTCCTCCTCCTCCTCCTCCTCCTCCTCCTCCTCCTCCAGGGGGCCTCCTCCCTCCGACCAGGCGCCCATGAGCCTGACCTGCCTCGCGGGCCTCGTCCGACAGGACGCCGCCGGACGCGCGCCACGCTCCTTCTCAGGGCCCGCACGGCGGGGCCCCCTCTTAGGCCTCCCAGGGCCCCGTCTCGCGGCGAACCAATGATCGGCGGCGAGCCGGGGGGGGGGGGATGAGAAGAACCCAGACATGATCGCGTCGTGAAAAAACTCCGGACGGGATGTTGTTGGCCGTTTTCGGCCTCGGGGGGCCCTCGCCGGGCCTCGGGACCTTCAAAACACGACTCAGGATGAAAAACTGGTCCCGGGGGAAGGGTCGGGACTTCCAGGGATCCCGTATTCAAAACATCAGGACGTCGCATGTCTGGGGAGAAGACCCTCTCAGAAGGCGGCGGGGCTTCTGAGAAGCCCGCCGGCCTTCTGAGAAGTTTTCTGTGCCTTCGGGGGAGGTTCTGGAAAACTTTTCAGAAGGCCAGGGGACGTCCGAGCCTTCTGAGAAGTGCCGCCCTCTCTCACTTCCCCCCTGGCTGGCCGCCGAAATGAGCGACGCAGAAAGCGAATTCGATTGCACCGACATTCGCGCGTAAGTTGCCCGCGCAAGTTCGCGCGTGTGCGCCCTCGTTTTCAGCATGGCGTGCCGCGCTGGCGGCCCTCGTAAGCCACCGCGTGAGGTCGCCATGCCATCTCGCCTAAGACCCTTTTGTTCTCGTCGACCAAATAGCGACGGAAGGTTTTCCAACATTTTGGCGGCTCGTGGAGGAGGCCGCTGGAGGCTGTGGAGTCTGATGCCTCCCCCCCGCGCGCCAGCAGAGCCGTCGGCGCCCGGTTTTCGAGCCTGGCACCTCGAGTCCGTATCCGCCGCCGCCGTCGCAATCGCAGTCAACATCGCGGTCGCCGTCTCCGTCGCCGTCGCCGCCGTCGCCGCCGCCGCCGCCGTCGTCGTCGTCGTCGTCGAGTTCCCACCCCAACAGAATCCATGGTGCTTTTTCAAGTCAAGTACTTCTCCCTGGGGTCGCACCTCGTTTTCACAAGGGAAAGTCTTGCGCCTCAGATTCTGACCCAGGCCCCCAGTTTACCACAACAATGGCTCCCGTTGAATATTTCCTCACAGTGCCGAAAACGCGTTCTCGCACTGGATGTCCTCATAATTTATCCAGGGCTTGCGCTCTGTCGTGGTACTTCCTCAAATCTACTGCAACGCCGTGCCGACGACACTCAGGGATGGCGCTCTCGCTGTGGACTTCCGCACGATTTATCAGGAAGTCGCGCTATCGCACGAAACTTCCCCGCGATGTATGTTGGATTGACGCTTCAGCGACACGCCCGCTCGACCCGGCCGTCTGGGCCCACTCGCCCGAGCCCGACCCGCCCGTCAGGGTGTGCCCGCCCGGCCCGCCCGTCTGGTTCTGCGACACGTTTCGTGGCCCCCCTAAGGGAGCTCCACCGGAGGCTTCAGAGGCACTGTCCTCATGGGAACCCGCACCATTTCGGCGCACCTCTGACGCGTTTCGCGGCCCCGTGGGGGGCTCCACCGAAGGCCCCAGTGGCAGGGTCCGCATGGCGGCCTCGGGCCATGCTGGCACACCTCTCACACGTTTCGTGGCCGTCCTCATTTCCAGTTTGAGTCGTGAGAGTGCGTGCGTGAACGGGTGACGGTGGGCGTAGTGCGTAGTCTGATGTTGCCTGGCGAAGCCTTTTCACTTTTACTGCAGGTCCTTGAAGTTGTTTGTTTGTATTGAGCGGTCTTGCTTATAGTCGCCCCGAGTCCAAATAGTGTTTGGTTTTTCGCCAGGCTAATTGTTTCGGCCGTGTGGTATTCTCAGAGCGGAATGTTGATGTAGTGGCTCAGTGTTTTCTGTTGTAGCAGCTAATTCATACTCTCTTTTACCATGGCTTATCATGTGCAGCGAAGTAGCATGCCAGCACGTATTTCTGAGAAATCCAAGCGCAGACATCCCCGTATCGTCCAACACGTTGTTTAAGCCAAACGGATCAAGTGCAATCAGCTTTTGACACCTGCGGCAACTTACCAAACACAGAAGTTGCTTGGTACGCCTTGCACCGCCCACTGTAATTTGGGAGAACTTTGGGGCGCAATGCAAAAATCGTGCGAGCAGCACACACCTGATGTTTGATATTATCAAATGAATGAAAACACGCTTCGTGCACATGGGCACGCATTTTTAACATAAGACGCCCAACATTCAAAGCATCAGCGCGCGGTTTGAAGCACGCATGAGACATTCAACATATCGCGATACATTCGACAAACCAGGAAACACATCCGAACCGTTCGACACATACTCACTTTATCTAGTACCAGCGCCGCTTTACATTGACAAGCGCAGCGAACACCCGCAAACCGTGTGATACACGGTCGCGGGATGCGGGGGTAGGCGCAGGAATGGTAATTTGCCGTGCGTGTTGTATAGATTCGGCCCTCTTGAGCACTACACTTGCACAAAGACGGTGCACACTTTGCTTTTTATTTGCGCATCGTTTTTAACATAAGCCGCGCGTGCCAAACGGTTCGGGACTTTCTTTGCGTTTTGGGGTGGGCTCTCAGTTTGTGTACAGTTGTACATGCGTTCACGGACATCTGTATATATATATAAACATGTATTTATGTATATATTTATACATGTGGATATGCATCGCAACGCTATTCTCAGTTCAGTCTGTCTTTGCTCGTGGCATCCAGTTTGTTAATGTGGCCCAGGCCTTAATAGGTCTTCTAGCCCCTTCTCCTCCGCCTCCCTTTCGCACTCCCCGTGTCGTCGTCGTGGCCGCCGTCGACTTCTACATCGCGGTCATGGTCGTCGTCGTTGCCCTCAGGAGCAGAAGCTCATCTCCACCGGGCGCGTGGGTGGCGACGCCGTGGCGAAGGCCTCGCTACCGTGCCGCCGCAGCCGCATTAGCAGCACCAGCAGAAGCAGCACAGTCAAACCCAGCGTTAAGAAAGGGCCCTTATCGCAAGGGTACCTTGCATGCGCTGGTTCTGGCCATCCTCGGCACGTTTGAGCGCGCGCATCCGTGGCCTTCGCTAGAGTGACCTTTGGTGCGGGCATACATGGGGCCCCAGATGCGATGCGATGGCAGGCAGTGTCTTGCACGCTCGCCGCGGACCCCGAAAGCCGCACCAACGGTCACTCTTGCCCACAGTCGAGTTTGATTAGCAGGTGGTCGACCCTTCCAAGCCAAGGGTTCCCTTGAGTCCTGTGTTTCGCGACCCATGGACGCTGCATTCCTATGGCAATGTGGCTCTCGGAAGGGTGTTGTGTCCTCTCACGTGTCCCCTCCAATCAAATTCTACTGTGTCCAAGGTGGGTTGTCCAGCTGGGTTGTCCAGATCCCCACTTGGTCGTCCAAGGGGTTGTCCGGGGTTTGTCGTCTTGTCGTCATTCATCCGCATGGGTTGTCCGGGTTGTTTGGGGGGGTTGTCTGGGGATTCTCTTGATCGGCTGCGTGCCCCGTTGCACATCGTATGGTAGGGGCGCTCTTGCCTGTAGCCGACCTGTGCCCTCCACCCGCCCCCCCCTGCGCCCATGGCCCGGTGCTGCGCGGCGGCCGCGGCCGCGGCGGCCGAGGCCGCGCGCCAGGACGTGGAGGCGCTGCTGGCGCGGGTGCCCCCGCGCTCGCGGGTCGCGGTGGTGTCGATGCTCGGGTCGCTGTGCCCGGTGATCCGCCACAGAAATGTACGCACAGACACCCTGCAGCGGATCGTTCATGGGCCTCGGGGGGGGGGGCGAAGGTGTGCAAATCGTCATTGAGAGCCAGCGGCTGTTACACCGCCACCTTGTCGGAGGGTGTCTGTGTGTATATATATGTATATGTATACATTGTCGTGTCGTAGGTGACGCTCGCCCACGTTCGCGCCTTCGACGAGGCGCGCCGCTTGCTGCTGGCGGAGCCTGGGGCGGCGGTGGAGCGCCCGCCGCGGCTGGAGGAGTTCGCCGAGTGCGTAGGGCTGGTGCGGCTGAACCCGGACGGGCACGTGGCCAAGAAGACGTCGCAGAAGGGGCAGCGCGCGATCTGCCTCGAGGATCGCGCGCAGCTGGTGCGGCTGGCCGTCTCGGGGAGGCCCTGGCTGCTGTACGACGAGTCCGGCCGGGGCGCGGCGAGGGCTTCCGCACAGGGGCTGGCCCTCCTGAGGTCGCGCTTCCCGAACGTCACCTTCGTCCACTTCGACATGAACGGGGCAGACGACGTCGCCAAATACCGCAAGTGGGCCAGCGCAGGGCCGAATAACAGGATGATCACCATGGGCCGCCCTGGCTTCACCGAGCGAGTGCAAGCTGGCATAGCTCGCGCTGGTGTGGAGCCCAAGCATTGCATTCTGGGCCCCGAGCTGCCTGACATCTCGTCCACTGCCGCCCGCGATGCCAGCGCCGCTGGCGACGTCAAGGCGCTGCTGCAGCTGCTGCACCCCGCCGTGGCGGAGTACCTCTTGCAGCGCGACGGCTGGCCAGGGCTGCCCGAGGCAGAGGCAGAGGAGTCGCCGGACACGCCAACTGGCTCGAGCCTGACAGCCCCAGAAGACGGACCACCTCCTGCGGCCTCACCGCTTGAAGAACCGCAGGCGGCGCGCAGGCGATGGCAGGCTCCGCAGTCGCGATGATCTGAGGCCGTAGCTAGGCTCGCGGAGAGGATCGTGCTGCCGTCGCTGGCGGTGGCGTCGAAGGGACCAGAGCAGGGGGAGCACATGTGAACGAGGTCGTCAGGGTGCCTCGCAGGCGGCGGACCTGCCCTTTACCATTGTCGATGTACAGATGGGGCGGCGCGCGCCCCCACTGATGGGACGGTCGCGCGCGCTCCCGCGGCGATGGGCGGGCAGAGCTGGCCAGACGATCGTCCTTGCGTGGCCCCGCGCAATGAGAGCGGCCCTCCGGTTGCCCCGCGCCGTCAGCGCGCGGCGACGGGCGGGGTGCAGATCGGGACGGGGCAGAGCTGGAGCGCGTGGCCTCGAGGGGAACAAGTTGTCCAAGCCTCCCCCGAAGACACCAAACATCCCTCAGAAGGCCAGCGGGCTGCCGAGAAGTCCCGCCGCCCACTGAGAAGGCCTTCTCCCTCTCTTCCCCCCTCGCTCGCCGCCGACTGCCATCGCCGGACGGGCCGCGACGCGCACTGCGCGGCCACCGGCCCCCCCCTCCCCCCCGGCCTCGTCGTGGCCGCCCAGGGCTCCGTCGTCCTCGTTGTCGGACGTCGGTCGTCGGTCGTCGGCCGTCGGTCGTGGGTCGTGGATCCGTCGTCGTCGTCGTCGTCGTCGTCGTCGTCGTCGTCGTCGTCGTCGTCGTCGTCGTAGTCGGCGGCGGAGGCGTCGCCAGCGTCCCGCCAGGCGCTCAAGGCGGGCCCCGTCCCGACCAATGGCGCCACCCTGGAGCCCGGCCCAAAGCGCCAGGAGCGGAGGCCAGCCGAGCGGATGTCCAGACCCTCCTGGCGCGTCGTCGTCGTCCGTCGTCGTCGTCGTCGTCGTCGCCGCCGTCGTTGTCGTCGTCGTCGTCCGTCGTCGTCGTCGTCGTCGACGTCGTCGTCGTCGTTGTCGTCGTTGTCGTCGTCGTCGTCGTCGTCGTCAGTCCGTCGTCGTCGTCGTCGTCGTCGTCGTCGTCGTCGTCGTCGTCGTCGTCGTCGTCGTCCGTTGTCGTGTCCGTCGTCCGTCGTCGTCGTCGTCGTCGTCGTCGTCGTCGTCGTCGTCGTCGTCGGTCATCGTCCGTCGTCGTCGTCGTCGTCGTCGTCGTCGTCGTCGTCGTTGTCGTCGTCGTCCTCGTCATCGTCATCGTCGTCGTCGTCGTCGTCCTCGTCCGTCGTCGTCGTTGTCGTCGTCGTCGTCGTCGTCGTCGGCGGTGTCAGTGGTCGGTCGTCGGTCGTGTGTAGGTCCGTCGGGTGGTCGGTCGGTCCACGCCGTCGTCAGCGTCGATACCGTCGGAGGGGGGATGAGAACGAGGAGGGAGGGTTAGGAGGATGAGAAGAAGGAGGCAGAGGAGGAGGAGGTAGAGGTAGAGGAGATGAGATATGGCAGCAGCCAAAAGTCAGTTCAGGGGGCCTAGTCAGGCCCAGAATCAGAAGCCTCAAGGTCAGAAGCCTCCTCAATCCTCGGCGTCCGCGTCACGCTCGAGGAGGATCCCGCCCAGGGCGGAAACGTCCGGGAGCCCATCCTCCATTGGACCGAACGAGATCAGCGCAGCAGCTCCGGACCCCCAAGCTCTCGAGAGAGCTAACACCCCGAAGCCCAGTTGCCACCCCGCCAGCACGTCCTGAGCCGCTTTGCTGAGAGTGGACCCTGGGGGCCCCAAACATGGGAGCCATTCGCACTCGTCCGTCGGCCGCGAGCGAGAGGGAGAAGTGAGAAGGAGAAGGCCTTCTCATAAGGCGGCGGGACTTCTCAGAAGCCCCCGCGCCCTCTGAGAAGTCTTTGAAGTCTTCGGGGGAGGCTCGGAACGCCTCCCAGAAGGCCTGGGGACTGCCGAGCCTTCCGGGAAGGCCTTCTCCTTCTCGCTTCCACCCCTGGGCTCGCCGCCAATCGTACGTCCTCGGGCACCCCTTGTGGGCGGATCGAGTCGCCAGACCTTCGGACCTTGCCTGTAGGAAGGCCAGCGCCCGCCTCCGACCGGGCGCAGCGGCCCACGCAGTCCCCCCCCCCCCGGAGGTCGCGCACGTCACCTAGGCCCAATCGGATAATCATAATATGAATAATATGAATCATATTGCGAATGAAAAGAATAATCATTACACTAATTTCAGTAATGCTGTTCACACTCATGCACTTCGTAAGCTACGAAGCATCGGACAATGACACAACGCAGAAACACACTTAGCTGCGCTAGTACGCCCGTTTTGTAACGCAGCGCGTGCCGTGTTCAAAACGTCCGTGCTAAGACGCTGCGTGCTGGCTCAGCGTGTTGGCCCACCGTCTCGGCGAACGCGACGCACCAAACGCATGCTTTCAACATCCGTGTTGAGCTTCACGCCAACACGCTACGTGCGGCGTGTTGCGCATCGGGGCGGCTAGAGAAGCACAGTGGCAGGCCGTCCTCGTGGCTAGACCAAGCCGTGACCCGGGCGAACAGCAACGGGTGGCCAATGAGCTCGTAGCCAACATCACGACATTGCTCCCAGCCGTCCACTGGCACTGGAAGCTGCACAGCTGGCGCCTCCTCGGCGAGGGGAGGTGGAGGTTCAGGCGGTGGGGGCCTCCACCGCTGGCTCAGAGGCTTCAGTCGCCTCTCTGGCTGGATCCCGTACGACTCCATCAGATCCGAGTGATCTTGAGCCGCCGAACCGTCCCCCACCAAAGCGTGAAGCTCCCCACTCCGCCGCCTCGCCTCCCAGGCTAGTCTGCGCAGGCCTCGCCACAGCTGGCGGTCCTCCACGGTCGCTCCACGACGGGAGGCCTCCCGGCTGGGCGCACTCTGCCGCGCCGTTCTCTTTCTTCTCCCAGGGGGTCGGGTGGTTATTAAGAACAGCTTGCGTGCTGCCATTGCGCATGGTCTTGTGGGCCGAGCATCCGCCAGGATCAATGCTCGTCCCGAAGGGGGACCGCATGTGGGCCCGCTGGTTCCCAGGGCCCGTGACAGCCCCAGGCCCAGCCCACAGAGTCGAACGTGCTCCCTTCCCTATGGAAGGCTCGGAGGGCGGCAGCGCAATCTGGCAGCACAGCGTGCTGACAGCGAAAATCTCGGCATCTCGCCAACTTGCCTTCTTCAAGGGCGCTGCCTCGATCGGAACCGGGCCGAACGCCGCAGGCGGGACTTCCCCTAAAACGATCACGCATCCCCACGGACCAGCCAGCCCGAGAAAGCGGGGTTCCAGGGAACAGCGCCTAGCCATCCAGAACATCGTCCCCGAGACGAGGCCAACATCGGGCCGCTGACACCAAGCAGTTGTCTGCTGATCAGGCCTCTGGATGCCAGCATGCAGTGACAAGGGGTTGGGGAGAAATACCCCGCGCAAGCAGCTCCCTCGCTTCATAACTACACGCCTTGGCCCTCCTAGCCCTGGCGGCCCCGCGGGACACACGATCCCTGCGTCTCACAGCAATGGCCGTCACAGGCACAACAGCGATGCCAAAGGGACCCGTCCTGGTCCCCAGAAATAAACGGCCATTCTTGTGGAGGCGGACCTGGGACCATCAAACTCCAGAGATGAAGGCCCTCAGGGCCCGCTGCTGGTGCTTCGACCAACTGGCCCGAGTCTTATAGAGCAAAACCGACATGCCAAACCAGAACATTGGGAATTCCCAGGGGCTCTCTGGGCCCTCGGGCTTCTCCTATCCGATTCGTGCCTCACTCCTTCCCCCACAAGTTTGTTGATCAGAGCTGGGGCTAGACACGACACGCTGAGCATGACCCCGTCATCGGAGCGAATCTCGTGCGCCGAGGTGACCTTCCAGCCGATCCCTTGAACAGAGGTAGAGGTAGAGGAGGAGGAGGAGGAGGAGGAGGAGGAGGAGGAGGAGGAGGAAGAGGGAGGAGGAAGAGGGAGGAGGAGGAGGAGGAGGAGGAGGAGGAGGAGAAGGATGAGGAAGGTGGAGGAGGAGAAGGAAGCGGAGGAGGAAGGCCATTCGGGTCCCTGCTGTGGGGGTGTTCCCCACCACCCGCGGAAGGGGGGGCCGGTCCGAGTGCGCTGCCCGCCACGCGGTGGACGGCTCGCTGTGCGATACGATCGCCGCGAAACACTCCACGATTCACGCGAAGATCTTCAGGATCGACGTGTAACACTTCGGAATCATTCGAAGCCAAGGATTACCGCGTCCGGCATGGGATGCAACCTCGGCCCGACGGCATCATTATCATTGCTACGACCGCTCTCGCGAGCGTCCACGCACGAGCTGCGTAGCAGGCAGCCCCAGGGCGGAACCGAGTTGCGTAACAGGCAGGCCAAGTACGATATCGAGTTGCGTAACAGGCAGCCCAAAGACGAGTACCACCACCACTGCGACACCAAGTACTAAGTACGCCACCAAGACCGACACCAGGAACGGTACGACCAAACAGCCCGAAAGGGTTAGTAAGTGCGTCGTCGGGGAGGTACTGGTGGACAACGGCCGCGCCGCCCACGACGAGTAGGACTACGACCCCGCCGCTTGCGACGAATGCAACTACACATTTTCCGATAGTGACCTTTATTCCTACGACCCCTGGACCACGACGGGGCGCAGGGCTAGCCGCCAGTATTACAGGGATACCCAGAACGTGTAACGTTGCGAGTTGGCAGCCGACGACTCCGACTCGAGCCTCGGGGGCTACGAAGAGAGCGTGCCTTCTGAGCTGCTACAGCCACCAGGAGAGCTACCAGGGCCACCAGACGACTTCCGGGGACCACGAGCTGAACTGGGAGGACCACGCGCACAGCTAAGACATATACCGGAAGAGCTTCAAGACCCACCTGCCGAGCTTCGAAACAACCAGCAGACGCACGACAACCACAAGCGGAGCTACGAGGACGGCGAGCTGAGCGACGAGAAACAGACCTGCGAGAGCCACCTACGGAGCTACTTGGGCCACTACCTAAGCTTCGAGGGCAACGAGCAGAGCGACTACCGCCATCAGCAGAGCCACCACAGCTACCAGCGGCCCTTCGAGGACCACAAACTGAGCTACGAGGGCCAAGAGCGCAGACATA